ACGAATAACGCGTTTTTAAAAATTAGGGCAAAATTTAATAGGATAATATTGATCATTTAAATCACCCATCATTAAATATTTTTTTCTCACTCTTTTTGTATTTCAAAGTATCGTTAGATTTTCCGGAAAATATTTAATTGGTATTGTTATAAGAATCATAACAAAAAAAGTATTATACTATTGACTTGCTTCAAATTTTCAAAGTATCTCAAATTATATTTTCTCTCTCTATTTTATTTGACTAATAATAAACCGTATTTATGGATTCATTACAATTTTCAAGAAAAATTCAAAAATTGAATGCAAAACAGGAGTTATCGTTATCGAAAATCCAAATGTTATTTTAAAAAACAGAATATAAATTTCTTATAGAATTAGAATCTATTATTTTTAATAAGCCTTTTTCCATATCATTTTGGACTTTTAACGATAATTTTCGTATGGCCGAACCACACATCCATCAATCATGCAAGCTAAAATTGAATTCAAATTGAATTTCGGCCACCCATAATTAGAATATTCAATATTTCTGCGAATACAAATATATAGTTGCTACAATGCAATAATCAAATGAATCAGAAACCATATCGAAAAATTTCTTAAAACAATCCGAAAAGTGTTAGCAGTTCTGGATTGCTGCCTCTCAAAAAATGAAGAGTATAGCTTCAATTTCCATAACTTTCTCATATCAGCTAAATTCAAGTAGGGTTGTTAGATTCCGACGATAGGTGTTCTGGAAGATTTGCTTGGTGTCATCATAGTGTCTTTAAATCAAAAATTTTATTTTGGAGTTAGTTTTATTGATTTTTCAATAAAAAACATTTCTAAAACAAGAAAATAAAACGATAAAATATTTATATTTTATATAAGGATCTTATATATTTTAAAATAAATATCATTTATTTTTTTCATGGTGTCTGTCAAACCATAATACACTATTCAAAAAATCAATGTGTTTTGCGGTTTCAAAGACACCTTCAAATTGAACGATAGCACAGACACTATTGAATTTTACCCATTGTATTTAGTTTTTACCCTTTTTATTTTTAAGAATTAATGACTGAAACAGCCGTTTTGCTATGACCTCAATCACTTTTATTTATTATTTTAAATATTATTTAATTTTATTATTTTGAATAGGCCAACTTTATATGAGAAGCTCAATTTGAGACCACTTAATACATTGAAATATCATAAATATTGAAATATTAAAAAGTGTATTTCAAAATATTGAAATTATAAAAATTTATAATACTGAAATTGAGACAAATTAATAAAATTCAATGTTTTTGAAAATAACTCTCAAATATTATTTTTTTGTTTATTTATGATGAAATAATATTGATTGCTTTAGTCAATCATAAAAACTAATTTAAGTTAAAATAATGAAAGGATAATTTGATCGTTTTTTAAAATACAATTATTTTTGATGATTTGCAAGAATCTTTGAAAAGAATATAATATAGGTTCTATTATTGTAAAATTTATCCAAATCATGTATTACATAAATTACGATTAAAAACGATAAAGAACCAAAAAGTGTGTTTTGTGTTTTGTTGTTGGGATTGCGTGTTGATGCGCGGATCCTGTTATTTCCGAAATCGACAAAAAAATTTGGAAATTTAATTTCCGAAATCGAAATTATATAGAGGTAGGGCAACGATAGGTCAAAAAGGCTTCTCTGATAGATTTCCTTGCCTTTTGGATATGCTATAATATATAGCCTAGCATGATAGGATATGATGTCAAAAGTTAGAACATAACTTAAGATCTTGAGAAAAATGAAAAACAAAAATTACATAAAAAAAGAAAAATTTTATCTAATTTGTTTTTTGGACCGAAAAGTAATTTTATTGGAATTTCAATACGACACATAGATTTTATTATTAGTAATAAATATAATGGTTACTATTAACAAGGAACCTAAACTAATGAAAATTTGATTTTAAATATTGTATATGATTATCATAGATTACCAAAATATATTCTATTTATGAGGATATAATATTGATTATTAGTAAATCGTATAAATTTAATAAATATACCATGAATATTGAATGAATTCTTGATTCATAGGGTAAAACGCGCTTTTATATGATTTAGACAGAGAATTTATGAGATGTAAATAACACAATAAAGGTTTATATTGAATATTTTTCTAAAATAAATCGAAATTA